TGTCGTTTGTCCTTTTGGTATAAAAAAATTAATATGTCGATGTACAGATAATTATATGTAATGTTGTGCATGCCACGCAGGAGTCTGGAAGGGGGGGGGGGGTCGGGTCCCGAATTATGCGCTATTTTTCCCCGAAATCCCGCGACCGACGACATTTTGCCATCGACGACCACATTCAACATATTCAAAAGCATTAAAATTTTTATTTATTTATTAATGTTTTCACGTTTTCCCGGGACATTAAATTCGGCAATTCCCGAGAGTCACGGCCGATGGCAACATCCCGAATCACGTAAAAAAATATTCTATCCGTGTCCCAGTTCCCGCAAATACCCTTCCAGACCCTGTCCACGGTTCAAGATTCGTGGGTGTTTAGTGGAATCTTTTTCTTTGCAGAGTATATTGCCAAAGTGAGTGAACAAAATCAACAACTACTGCAGAAACAAAGCCTTCAGAAATATATATTTTTTCTTTTGTTTAAGAATGAAAATATGTCGATTTACAGAGCTGAAACTTCTGGGAATCGTCTGATAAAAGTCTTTGAATCTCATTATCTGCTCTACCCTGCGAGCAGAGTCTCCGTATACCTCCTCTACGGGAGTTCTGAAAAAAAGAAAGAGAACTGAGAGATTGAAAAATATTCCAATACAGGATGGATAAAGGAGGATCAGTTGTATTTTTTTCAAAAGCACACAGAAGAAACGGGGTGGGGGGGAGGATGCAGGGAGATTTCAGAATTTTAATTTTGGGCGGAACTATCTACTAGGAAAGGCACCTTTTCCTCGCATGACATCAATAATGAATGGTCTTAAACGACAAATTGAGCTGTTAATCCACACGATTTTTTCTTTACATAAATTTTATTTATCATACGCCCCAATCTCGTACCCAGAGCCCTTATTTCTTACTGCGCATGCTCGACGAAATAATTGGGCTCTGGAAAATTCCAATATTTCCTGTGCTGTAATTGGTTCTCGAGAACAAAGGAAGATACCGGAAGTAAGAATTACAGTACTAGGGAAAATAAACAAGATGGCGTCTCGAATTAAGTACACCAAAAAAGCCTGTAGGGCCGGATTTTTCAAAGTTTTGCCGGTTTTGTAATGGAAATTGTATTGATGTCCATCCAATAGATATTTTCGGAGWTAATTAAACTGAAAACCATCTTCAAAACCTAATTTTCCAAGCGCAAATTCACATGCTCGTTGAACATCGTCCGCCACTTTGAATTTACCTAGTCTGTCATAATGCGCATGTGCGAGAAACCCAGAATCTGGGTCTTCCGGTTTAGAGTTTTCCAGAGCCCAATTATTGTTGCCACGAGTGGGCTYCCTATGTGACATGCGCATGGGTAGGCAGTGACGTCATAGCGCGGGAAAATAAGGGGCGCGAAAATGCTTTGAAGTTCATTTGAAGACGACTCGAACAGGATCAACATGGCTGCGGTGACAGAAAATACTGCTGCTTCAAGCTCCACTTTCGAGTACTTAAACCCCTTTAATTTTCACAAAATTTCATTCATAGCTAATTTAATGTCTTAACTTTAATTTAGATGACTTTTTCTGCTCGTCTTTTAGCGAAGATGTCAAAAAATTGATGGGTAAAGGAAAGGTTCATTTGGTTTGTAACGAGACTTTGGAGGCTGTCAAATGCTTCGAAGAAGCGACGAAAAAATTGTAAGTACTACTTGTTCTGATTATTCAAACCTTATTTATGCTATATTAAGGTTCAAAATTTTTATATACGCACAGGTTTTAGAAGAGTTTTGGAGAAGTTTTGTAGATTTTAATTAAAAACGTTCTAAACTCGCTCGCATGCGGTCGAACAATGTCTAACTTTTTCGTACTGTTAACTTATAAAGTACGAATTTGCTTCATTTAACTTGTTTTCAGGTCTCGTAAGCTATGGTTTGATAATTTATATCCTTTTAAATTGCTTTAAAACGTTTTTAGCAAAAAAAATGACTAATAGGAACACAGATGTCCTTCATGAGTGACAAAGTCATTTCCAAAAGTCGCAAAGCTTTGATCTTTAACTTTATTTACTTATTTCTGACTGTGTGTTACGAAGTAATGAACGATTTTTCATTTTATTTTGACAGAGATGAGAAATATGGAGCATCAGCTGATGAATGTGGAGAAGCATATTTCTATTATGGAAAGTCACTGTTGGAGGTGGCCAGGCAAGTAGCCTCACCCCTCTCCCACATTATTAACTTTGTACCTCGATTCTAATCCTAACATAATTAATTTTTCCCACCCCTCCGCAACATTATTAACTTTATAAGAAGTTGTCCCCACCCATCCCCCCACATTATTAACTTTGTACCTCATTTCTAATCCCAACATAATTAAGTTTTCCCACCCCTCCCTAACGTTATTAACTTTATAAGAAGCTGTCCCCACCCCTCCCCAACATTATTAACTTTGTAAGAACTTGTCCTCACCCCTCCCCCCACATTATTAGATTTATACCTCACGTCTAATCCCAACATAATTAAGTTTTCCCACTCCTCCCCAACATTAACTTTATAAGAACTTGTCCCCACCCCTCCCCCCACATTATTAGATTTATACCTCACGTCTAATCCCAACATAATTAAGTTTTCCCACTCCTCCCCAACATTATTAACTTTATAAGAACTTGTCCCCACCCCTCCCCCCACATTATTAGATTTATACCTCACGTCTAATCCTAATGTAATTAAGTTTTCCCACCCCTCCCCAACATTATTAACTTTATAAGAAATTGTACCCACCCCTCCCCCCACATTATTAACTTTGTCTCTCACCTTAATAGAAGTAAGGTGTGCCTACCCCCATATTATGAACTTTATAAAAGAGAGTACTTACAAGGGACATTATAATTCAAGACAGAGAAACAAAAAGCAGGCTTTTGCATCATTCCCTTTTCTTCCCCAGAAGAGGAACGGTTCGTCAATCAAAACAATGAGACTGTTTTAGTTTTTTGAAACATCCTTTATCGACCAATGCCTCTCTAGAGAATTTACCATTCCAGCCAATTAAAGATGTTAAAACAAAGTTTTTAGAAGAGAATGCCTTGTGTACTTTTTTCAGGATGGAAGGTGGTGTGATAGGAAATGCATTACAAGGAGGTAAACATTTATGTATGGTGTACAGTCTTACTTTCCTAAGAATTTGACTTCTCCCAGTTGGACATCCACCTAAAAGATACTACTACTCCCTTTTCCTAACACTGATCATTTCTATACAATTGCATGCTCACTATCTTGGTTGACATGATAATGGAAAGAGATACCATATCTTTTATTAAGTCAACCAATGGTGGGTTGTGACATTACCTGTGTAATGAAATGGGGTACCTGTGGGCGTTAAGCGGTTAAGTGGCCAACGGTTACTCGTTCAGTTTTACTGTCCGCAGCCTTGTTTGTTTTCCTTTTTTTTTATTAATTTGAGTCGAATAAAGCATGATTCCACTATGGAACTTGCCTGTTTACTTTACAATACAATAAACTGGAACCCAAAAATTTTCTCAGATGTCAAGCAAGATTATTCATGCTGATAATAAAAATGCTGTTTTAATGTATTCCTAGCAATCGATACTGTTCAAGAAAATGGTGATGGAGAGGAGAGTACAGACAAGAAGGATGAAAAAGACAAAGATGATAAGAATACTGATGCCGAAAAAAAGAAAGACGAAGGTTTGATTGGTAGGTCTTCTTCTGTTATCATAAATGAATGATTGTGTTGATACCACAGGATAAAACTGAAAGAAAAATACATGAATGTTGAACACCATAAAGGAAAAAGATAATTGAAAGCTTTACGCCAACAAATTACTAGTGGTCTAAAATGTCTTTACTTATTACTATTACTTTACTATTAAGGCTGCGTCTACACCGGACAAATTTTCAAGCGGCCAAACAGTTGTACGTTTAAGGGTTCAGTTCACATGGTATAAAGCAATCTTGCTCAATTAGTATCTCTAATAAACACATGATTCAGTACTCATTGGGATTAAAAAAACTTGTGATAGTTCAAACATTATTAAATTTAAGTACGATGCTTTGAATTCCCGTTAAGGACTTTAATAGTATCTAATGCATTTACCACTCCTGGRTGGACGGCTTAATGCCTAACAGGCTTTGCGACCCAATTSATAAGGCAGCTGGTAGGTCGAATTAGAATTTAGAAGTTGATTTTTGCGGAGGCAGGAAAAACTGTAGAACATGGAGTAAAAACCCTTGAAGCCAAGAGAGAACCAACAAACAACTCTATTCACATATGACACTGAGACCGGGGGAGCTTGAACCTGGGTCGCATTGGTGAGAGGCGGTGCATTAGCAACGCACGCCAACCATGCTTCCCTAAGTTGATCAAAAAGAGATTTTTACCATTTGATAATAGATTGAATGGGTAGATGCATGTTTAATTTCGTTATCAGTTGGACCGGATATCGATGAAATAGATGAAGAAGAAAAAGAAAAAATAGGCCAGGAAGTAACGGATGCCATGACTGAAGATGCATTCAAAGAAGCAGTACAAGAAGACACTAAAAAAATGGAAGGAAAACCTTTGGAGAAAAAGGAGAACCAAACTCCTGAAGGTTAGGTGTTTAAACCTCCCAAAAAAAAAAAAACGGAAACAAAGAAATTAGAAATGAAAAGAAAAAAAGAGAAAAAGATTTAGATTGAAAAAATATTTTTATTTTTTATTTCTTAAACCCCTAAATATTGTTTGGCTTTACTTGACATCATTGCCCATCTCATGCAGAATGTTTACCAGATCTGCCGAATCTCCAGTTTTCCATACTTAGTATTTTTTCTGGTTAACAGCACAAGGTGGACAGTCTTTGACTACCACACAAGAGGACACCAATGAAACCAATAAAAATTCTTCAGAGAAAAAGGAGAAAGCTCCGGAAGGTTAGGGAGTTTTTAACCAAAACAAAACAGAAGAAAAGTAAAAAGATGAAAGGAAAAAAAAAAGACAAAAGAATGAGACTGAAAAAATATTTTTATTTCTCAAAAAAATAAATATTTCTCAGGGTTCGTGCAGGTCCTTATAAACTCCTTGAAAAGTGCTGGAATTTAAAATGCATTTTCAAGGGCACTTGAAACTCCTTGAAAATAGAAAAAAAGTAGAAATGTCCTTGAATACTCCTTGAAAAAAATTGTCCATGAAAAAATGTCAGTGAAACTTTCAAGATATGTAAACCGTGAGTGGTTGTCATTGGTTAAAATTAGAGATTTTCACTACGTCTCGGGATAAGCGTCTTTTTCTATTGTTAAGTTTCCAGAACTTAGTGGCTCAATGTGGCGTGGATATCACATGACAAATTGGCACATCTCGATTGGTATTGGCATTTTCTTCATATTTTTTTAATACCAAAATGAAACCCTCTTAGAGTTACTCCTTGAAAAATGTCATTTTGGTCCTTGAATACTCCTTGAAAACTCCTTGAATAATTTCTTGGGAACCTAGCACGAACCCTGATTGCTGGGTTTTACTTGACGTCATTTCCTTTCTTGTGCAGAAAATATGTTCATCAGCTGAATCACAAGTTTTCATTACCATGCTTTCTATTTGACAGCATATTATAAATAATAAGATAATTAGACTTTTATAAAGTTGATTGAAACCCAGCAATTATGATAAATATTGATAAAATAATCTATTATGCATGTTGATAACATTTTGTATAATTATAGTTCTTTAGTTTGTCTTTAATGGTGTAATACTGTTTAATGCATGTGCTTTAACGAGCAAGTTGCAAGTCCTAATGACTGAAAAACCTTATGGTGCAGAACTGCTATGCATGTGCAATAAGCCATAAAGCAAGATGACGTTTTACCCCAACTCTATACCATAATAGTTTTTAAAATTCTTTCATATTGAATTTTTTTGATTCCTTAGAGAATACAGGAACAATAGTCATAATTAAAGAACAAAAGCAATGTGAAAAGGATTATGGTCTAGAGACAGGGGTAAAACGTCATCTCGCTTCAGGCTTATTGAGCAATACTTATTTCACTCCACACAGCCTTGCTTATCATGATAACTGTAGTTTATATTAAAAGACCAAGTATTTTGCCACTAACTGGCAAGAAGTGTAACTTAATGGAAAGTGCTCTTAATCAGCACAGCAATGAAAACAGTGGTGAAATTATGTTACGTACTTACAACCCTATCTGTTCTTTCTTTCTTTTGATTTTTCTTTCATTTCTTTAATATTTTCTTTTCATTTCTTTTTCTTTGTGTCCATGCATCGTGCGCAGAACCCTACTGTAAAACCCTCATGTGAAGTAGGCATTCCTAATACAGATTGACTATTATGTGTATCTTTGCATTCTTTATTTCATGATGTTAGATGTGCTTACAATATTGTTTTGTTGAATGCAGAAACTAATGAAGCAGAAAAAACAATGGCAAAGAAAGATGAGAAAGATGAGGCCAAACCAAAAGAACAAGAAGTAACATCAGAAGACAAGAAAGAAGAAGCACAAGAAGCTGCTGCTGACGAGGATGAGGATGGAGATGAAGGGGCAGAGGAAGAAGAACCCATGGAGGGAGGAGAAGAAGAAGGCGAGAATGTTGAAGCAGAACAAACGGAAGAGGTAGAGTTTTGACAAAATCTTACAGCACAACACGCAAAAGTGTAACCACATTTAATGTATTTGAAAACTTCTATTTTTCATATGACCTGTATCTGCCCAGGCTCGCGCTATTAAAAAACCTTCAGGAAAATGGGCAAGCAGGGCTGTGAGAATCGGTACGGCCCTGCTAGAATCCGCACACTTTCTCTTTTTTTAGCTTTTATTTACTATTTCTTTCTCTTTTTTTTTTTGTGAGGGTCATAAGATAAAATGCTTATTGACTGAGTTAGGTCAGGCTGTAGAGGAAAATATTTGGCTCTTGGTCATTGGTACGGACCTCGCTGCGCTCAGTCCGTACGACATCACCTCAAGCCAAATTTTTTTTTTACGGCCCTCCCACTCAATAAGTACATAGCATGGGCTTTTTCCTGCCAAAGGAGCGTTTGCACTCCTCATTTGGTAAAACGAGCCAACTTTGCATCAAAATGCATTGGTTTAACAAAGAACCTGTGTATTGGAATGTTTGAAAATGTTTTGGCAATAATGTCTTTTCAGGAGGAACCAACTAACATGGAGCTGGCTTGGCAAATGCTTGAATTTGCGAGATTGATATTCCAAAAGTATGTACATAGAGTTTTGATACACATATTCCCTGCCTTTAAATTTTTTATAAAAATTCTTTTTGACTGACAGTTGGTCTATTTCATAGTTCTAATGTAGGACTGCGAGCACCCAAAAAAGTGGTGGATTAGATTGAAAAATGTATTAAATTAGCAGGCCACTTCCCAAGCCCCTACCCTTCTCTGGTCTCTACAAATAATATGCAAACTTTACATTGGTCTGATTACAGGAAAGAGAGCAAGGAAGGAAAGCTGATGCTTGCACAGTGTCACCTTAAACTTGGAGAAATTCAAATGGAACAAGGTTTGTTTGTTTCAGCAACTGAAAGAGAGGTGTCAATGTAGCACTAACAGTGATAAAAAAATGTGCCAGTCTACTGAAGCATGAGACTTTCATCCAACCTCGTGGCTTAAGAAATAAATGCCTTTTCTGAGGATAGATTGAAATTTTATAAGGTTTTGGGGCATCTGGTGCCAGAAGCCGTCCGTCCGTCAGTCAGACAGTCAGTCAGTCAGTCACCTTTATGTTAGATGGAATTACGATAAAATCCTTTTACTCTCGGGAATTGAGTTCTTTCTCATGCTGCTGCACTCAGCTGCATGATTTGCATGATCAGCAAAACCTCTATAAATGTCACTATAGTCTACTGTATGCATGGTAAAATGAAGTTGGTAGACACCCTTAAATCAAGGGAGAGACCCAGCAATGGACCTACTAAACATTAAGGTTTTTTGTTTGTTGTTTACCCACAGAGCAATTCTTAAATGCAGTAGAAGATTTTCTCAAGTGTTTGGACCTCCAAAAAGAACATCTGGAACCAGACAACAGATTATTAGCAGAAACGTATCCTTTGAAAAAATAGGAATTTCCAAGGGGTGGGGAGGATCTGAGGAGGGTATATTGTGTAGTACCAGAAAATATCCATACCTCCCCCATGGAGGGGGATTAGTATTTCCAAGTGGTGGGAAGGGTATATTGTGAAAATATTCCAGAAAATATCCATACACCAATGCTTTACATTCTGGGCTTAAAATAATGGCTGAACATCAGACAACGGACAATGTCCGGCCATAACTGGGACTTCTCGGGTCAAATCTTTGCCTTGCTGGTCATTTTGACCAGTAACGTTGAGCCAGAAATGAATGACTAAGCTAAAACTAATTTGGCCTCTGATCATGATCGGAAACTAATAGGTCGTTATTTTAAGCCATGACATTGCAAGGTTTTGTCGCCATCATCTTCAAAAGCACTGGCCGAGTGCGCTGCTAATGCCCCACCTCTCACCAATGCGGCCCAAGTTTAAGTCCTGCTGGGTTCGGTGTCGTACGTGAGTAGAGTTGTTTGTTGGTTCTCTCCTGTGTTTCGAGGGTTTTCCTTCCTCCTTGAAAATCAACTCCTAAATTCTAATTCGATCTTTGGGCTTTCACCTAGTTTGGAGCCTAGCTCTGTTGTGATTGTCTCACGCTGTGATACAGCAGCGAAAGCTTTGTAGATTTTAGATTTWAAAAAAATTTTTCTTTAACCCTTCTTTAGAGCATATAATATTGGCTTAGGGTTCTCGTTCCAGTCCATGCATGAGAAATCTAAAGAATATTACAATCATGCCCTGGAGACTATTGATCTTAGGATCAAGAATCTACAGAAAAACATTGAGGAAGCTGAATCCAAGAGTAAAGGCAAAGAAAAGGCGACAGAAGATAACCCATTGGTTGCAAACAGAAAGGAATTGCAGGAGTTACAGGAATTATACCCTGAAATCAAAGCCAAGGTACTTTGGACATTACTGCTGAACTAAATTATAAAACAACTGTTATAAATCTCGCATTCTGATTAGTTGGGAGCGTGTGTTTTATGAGAACACAAAGCATTTTATAAAAGAAATAAAAACTTGCTTGCTGTGCTGTGTGGAGTTATAAAGCACTTGGGGATTGGCAGAACACTCAGGAAGTGTCGAGAAGCACTCCACTACCGCTATCCACCGGCTTCTTCTAACACTTCTCTTGTGTTCTGCCAACCCCAGCATGCTTTATAACTGCACACAGCACACATGCACATTTTCTATTTCTTCAATGTCATTTTTGGTTGGGCCCATCAACTCAGTGATATATGAATTAATGATAAGTAATTATTATTATGATTGACAGGTTGATGATGCTAGTGAAATGATGAAACAGGAAAGCAAGAAAGCTGATGTCAGTTCATTAATGGTAAGTACAGTAAAATCATCATCATTAAAAACTCAAAGCTGTCATCAAAACATAATGTTTTCTCATATTTAACGATTTAATAATATACAGTAGTGAATGGCCCTACATTTGGTAACGAATGGATCTATGTTACAGGGCCCAGTTGTTGAAACCCCAATTAGTGCTAATCCTGGGTTAACTCTCAATAAGACCTATAGAGTTAATCCTGGATTAGCGCTAATCCAGCTTTGAACAACTGGGCCCAGGGCTTTAAAGTAATGGCTGGACATCTGACATTGTCCGCCCAGAATTGGAACAAATCTTGGCCTTGCACATCATTTTGATCTGTAACGTTAAGCCAGAAAGGATGTATGACCAATTGAAAACTAATTTGGCCCGTCATCATGATCGATGATTTACTGGCTGTTATCTTAAGCCCTGCATTTTGTAGCAAAAGTCCTTAAAATACAGTAGCAAATAAACCAGATACCATTTAGTGTGGAACTATATTAAGTGGCTACTCTTGGGAAATAAATATTATTGCGGATGCTAAATAAAGGTTGGCTATTTATATTGAGAGTATAAGATTGGTGCAACAACCTTCTTTGCGACTTTAACAACTGGTTGCTAGTCATGGTTTTGCTATTGTGGGTGTGCTTGAAATGTAGTTTTAACCTTACATAAAGGTTTTATTAACAGAATTATTCACTCAACTTATTTTTATTTAAGGGTAATGGGGCTTCAACTACTATTGGATTTGGAGATAGTTCTAACAAAGCAGCACCAGTTTCCATGGTGAGTTGCTATGGTGATAATAGCACGTGATTCTTTCACCTTACAGTATTTATCCTAGCAGTGCTGGATACAAAAAGTGGTCTATCTTTCACAGTACTTTTCTTGGGGATCCGGTTAATTTCGACTCTCAAAAAAAACCTATAACCTTGACCAACACCAGGAAAGCTCAGTTCAGTCCCGGCTGGTCCAACATTCAGGGTCTTAAAATATCTGAGGAGAAAGTGCTGAAATTACATCTACCAATAAGTTAGACTTTCAAGTGGCTTGGATGGCCACTTTACTAGTAAATGGAGTCCTGTCTTTCCACACTTATTTACCACGAATGGATATTTGAGGGACAGGGATCTGAGCAGTGACCACCCACAGTGTCTGCACATCATACTAAACACCCCTTGAATGATCGTAAGCACAACAAATCACACATAGAGCAGTTTTCGTATGACCATGAAAAGTTCGCGGCACAAACATGGTCGTGACACAGCAAGGCATATGTCAGCCCAATCACATTGCACGAGAATTTACTCTCCATCCAATCAAATACCTGGAACACAGCATGAACATGGCGCAGACACGGTCACACCCAGGTCACGGCAATGCCAGACCAATCACATTGCTCCAATTAAAATTCTAGAAAGCATCACAGTCATGGCACGTCATGTTACGACAATGAGCTTTTCACAGTCATACGGAAACTGATCTAATAATCATAATCATTGATAGAACTCTCCAGTCACTTTGTACAAAACAGACCTACATAAAAGGTTAAAAACATTTCTCATCTCAACTAATACTACTGCATGTTGTTTTATTATGGAAGATTGCAACAAAGAAGGCACCGGTAGCAGCGACAGACATCTCCCATCTGGTGCACCGTAATAAGGTGGGTGGACAGTCAGTTGCTGCTGGGTCACAATTAGTGGCCAGTGGTAAGTTTCTGTTGCAACCAGGGTTGCTATGATTACCACTAATATTCCAATATATATTTTTGAAATATTATTTTCTGGATAGTTTTCCAATGAAATTCAGAATGTCCGACCAACGAACTCAAATTCATAAGATGTTTTAGTAGTTTTTTTTCCCCTTAATGTAGCTTTAGAATGCATTGATTCTAAGACAGAAATTTACAGTTTTGAGCAATCTGTTCCATGCTGTATATTGAAGGGAAAAAAAACACATTTTGACTGATGTAGTAGCAGTAACTAGGGAGATAGGACATTGAATGCGGGATCAGTGTATTCCAAATAATAATTGTTTGTGTTGTTGAAGTTGTGTATATTTTACTTGTTGGTATTAATTGTGAGCATTTTGACACTGATAAAATAAAATAAAAAATAAAATAAATAAATGGGATTTAACAGTGGCATTTCTACAGATTAGCTATTCATCCACTGTAATTCCAATTGGAATTTAGGAGTTGATTTTTGCAGAGGGAAGAAAGCTGGGAAACCCGGAAAACCCTCAAAGCACAGGAGAGAACCAACAAACAACTCAACTCACATACAACACCGAGCTCAGCGGGACTCGAACCTGGGTTGCATTGGTGAGATGCGAGCACTCACCGCTATGCCACCCATGCTTCCCATGATACGAGTCTAACCCTTGATAAATGAATTTGTAATCAAAGAACATTGTGGAATTTTACAAATTGGCAAAAGGTATATTCCTTATATTATGGCTTTATATAGAGTATTAATAGAGTTTTGATTTTATTGTATTCATGTTAATAAGTGTTTGGTTTTTTTGTAGAGGAAACCAGAAGAGGCTAGTGACGATGACACAGCTGCAAAAAAACCATGCCAAGATACTGACACTCCGAAAGCCAATGACAAGCCAGCTGAAACTACCAATGGCAATACAGAAACGACCATGCAAGTAACACCAGCGGAAAGCTAAAGCAATACTCACCTAATACTGTATATAAAATATCTATGATGAACAGGGATTGTACGTTTGCCTCCATGATAACAATTTTTGTACCAGATTATTATTTCATAGGTTGACATGTAAAACCGTTATCCATACTTGTTGGTAACCATTCTAGTTAGAGTTAACTTGGACAATTAATTTAAGAGAAATGAATAAAATATATAACAGTTTGTTGAAAATTGCCAAAGTATAACTAACATTGTAAAGTGGTGTAACCTTTTATGACTATCGCTGGCTTTCACTTGATTGACTCTTGTGGAAGACAGCAGCTATTATTCGATATCATTTTGCAACATTAGGAGAGTTAGTGATGTAAATCTTTCATAATTATTGCTTGGGTGTCCACTTGATTACATCATTTACTGACTTATGTGGAAGACGGCAGCTATTATTCGATATTATTTTGCAACATTAGGAGAGTTAGTGATGTAAATCTTTCATAACTATTGCTTGGGTGTCCACTTGATTGCATCATTTACTGACTTTTGCGGAAGACGGCAGCTATTATTCGATATTATTTTGCAACATGATTAGGAGAGTTAGTGATGTAAATCTTTCATAACTATCGCTGGGTGTCACTTGATTGCATCATTTACTGACTCGTAGAAGAGGGCAGCATTTACTCCTTTTTTTGCATCATGGTTAGGAGAGTTATTGGTATAAACATTCATATCTCTATTGCTGGGTTTCTAGATGCATTTGCTGACTTATGTGGAATGTTCATCAGCTGAATCACATGTTCTCAATAGAATTCTTTTTGGCCGACAGCACATGGTGGTTAGTGTTTGATTATCAACGAACAGATAATGACTGTTATGGAATTTTTTAACTTGCAATCTTAATTTTAAACTCTAAAATGTCTAATTTTTGTTTTGGACTTTTGTTGCTGCAATCAATATAAGAAGTAGAATGGATTTCTTCATTGTTTGTTGATATACATTACAGCAATCTAAAGTTAATTCTAAGTGTTTCCAAAACTTTGCTAAAGGTCATTTCCAAATTTATCAGTTTCATTCAAGCCCAAAAAAATGTATGCTAAACCTACTAAAAATTTCATAAATTTATGAGTAATATTTATTGAAAAAATTGCCAATATTAATTTCCAAGGGATGCCAATATTTGAATACAGCGTTAAACAAATTGCTTTAAATTTTTTGTTTGCACATGACATTATCACTGCCATGTTGGAGGTATGAGGTTGAGGTACAAAAATATTTCTCATTAACCTCTTGTTAATAATACCACCGACATGGCTGCCTTTTTAGTTGGGGTGTAATGTTTTCCCATTTCAGACCATGTCATTCCCTAGAGTATCATTTCCGTGTTTAATTGTTGCACTTGAGAAGATATGAATACTAAACATGTTCAAGAGGGCCTATAGAGGCTATGCACCATCACGTGATGGGAGGCAGGAATGATTGAATCTACTCTAATCTGATTTACATGAGAAGGAATTCAGTTTCCCAAGGGAGAAAGACTTGCTGTGCATCCTGTCATGGCTGCCATCACATGATGGTACAAAGCCTCTATATGCAAGTTCAGTCAAGAATCAAACCAGTGACTCCAACCTTGAACTACACCGATGGAGAAACAGTGACATAACAGACCATGCCACCCAGAGTTGTAAATCAAGAATAAAATAGTCCTCTTCACTGTTCTCTGCGCCATCTTGAAAGTTAGCTGGGCCTTTGCATCGAAGCGAGACAAATGTTGAGCTTTCAATGATAGAGACCTGTTAATAATTGTCCAAGGTGTTAAAAAAAGTCTCTATCATTGCAAGCTCACTGTTCGTCTCGCTCCGATGCAAAGGCCCGGCTACCTTTCAAGATGGCGCAGGGAACCGTGAAGGGGACTATTGTCTCAAGAATGGCAGCGAGGTAACATATACAAGAACATTGGGCTCAGGAGCTTTATTGGTAATTAGGAATTCATAAGAGCTCAACTTACAAGGCAACATGGCAGATAACGTTTGGAATTTAGAATACAGGATCTGCATGGGATACTCGCCCTTATAAGAATGTAGATTTGTAAACAATATAAATTATTACAGGTAAAACATTTACATACCAACTCTTAAAAATTCTTACTTATCTGTCTCGCTAAAATCTACTATAATCTGCTATAACGCTAGTATTTTTAAGAATCGTTTCCATATAAATAAAATGTTTTTGCTTAACTTTGGACACGTTTTTTTTGGGGTCCAACTTTTTAGAGCCAAGTTATGGGACAGACGATGCCGACTGAATGTCGACCCATCCTTTCTTTGGAAATGATAAGTTATTGGCCCCTAAGGCTTGACAATGTCATATATTAAGATCAATTAGTAATGCTGTACAATCTAAATAGGTTATGACACCATATCCACAGCAAAGATCCAACGTTTAGAAATCTGCAAATTCCTTGGCACACTTTTCTGTACTGGAAATGTGAAGAGGTTCTTCTTCGTAGTCGTCAAAGTTACTGGGATCTCCAGGTCCCTTGCATTTTGGAATAAATGGTGCTTCGACCTGGATAGAAAAATGGTGGAATTTTACATCTTGCAGGTAAGTTCTTCAAAATGTAGGTAAGATTTTAAGGGGTTGGGATGGATATTTGAACATTTTTGTCTAGTTAAAAGCATAATTTTGAACAGTTATGAAAATATGTTTTATTCTTACTTTTCTATTGAAGATTGCTATCCATTCTGTTGAAGAAAACCACTTGTGGTTTCTGATGTCGCCGACACCATTTTTCAAGTTTCCATAGCGCTTTGTGAGATCTACTTGAAGTAAGTTACGAAGAAGATCCTTGAGATCATTGGTGAAATGTGAGGGGAAGCGAACCTGGTAATGTAAACAAGATTACAGTTAAATCATCCAAACAATTTAGAAGAAGCAAGAAGAGCAGTACAAGAAAGGAGAGAGGCTGGATAGTGAGTAGATGTACCTTTCCAGAGACGATCTTTTCATAGATTTGGATTGGTTGGTCTGCAAAGAATGGTGGATAGCCTGCTGCCATTTCATATATCAGTACTCCAAGAGCCCACCAGTCTACAGCTTTGTTATAGCCCTGTTAACGACAATGACAACAATACATTCAGAAATAGATTGAAAGATTTCAAGGGATGGGGAGGGACTGAGGAGGGTATATTGTGTAGTACCAGAAAATATCCATACCTCCCCCATGGAGGGGGATTGTAATTTCCGAGGGGTGGGGAGAGTATATTCTTGGGGTGCAAAAAATCTCTTTGAGATATAAATGACAATGATACAGGTCAATCTACTAAAAGAAGCCTACATTGACATGGCTTCATTTACTTAACATGCACCCCAAGAATTGCATAGTCCCAGGAAATATCCAAAGTGATGCAAACAGAAGCACAAAGACACAAGCGAAGTCAGTTAGACTTATACTTGTTATACCTATCCTTGAAAATTGTTATAACAGGGATTTAAACTTACTTTGCTTAGGATGATTTCAGGTGCGAGGTACTCGGGGGTACCACAAAGGGTCCATGTTCTTCCTTTAACTCTCTTGGCAAAGCCAAAATCTGTAACTTTCAGGTATCCTTTCTCATCGATCAACAAGTTCTCAGGCTTTAAATCCCTGTGCAACGAAAAATTCAGGGTGAGTTAGTATTCTACAGACAGACATCAAATATGATTTGATTTGCTGACGTTCTTTTGCTGCCATGCACAAAGGGTTTTCTCTATGCATGTCATTCTTTATCTTTGATCCATAAGAAGTTGATAGTTATGTACAAAGAGTGATGTGTTAAAAGTACTAATTCACAACACATACTACTACTTATCTCTTTGGGGGGGGGGGGGGGGGGGGTTGTTTTTGAGTGCAACCAAGCCCTCAGTGTTATAAGAATCGCCTCTCTCTCTATAGGCCAATCTTTGTTTACGTTTTTTCCTCATTAGCATAAAAAAAATTCAAGCTACAAGCAAACCAACTCCAGAAATCGAAGTCTTGCCACATGACTATACATTTCTTTGTAAATCATACTGCTTTCAAAAAAAAGTTACTCCCAAAATATTGAACATATTACTCTCAAATTTTCAGTAGTTACTAAACAAGACATTCTCTTTCTATTTCTGGAGTCGGTTTGCTTGTAGCTTGAAATTTTTTTATGCTAATGAGGAAAATACGTAAAGAAAGATCGGCCTATTAGCTAGTACATGAATTTTTAAAAGATGTAAATTATATATAAAAATATCCTATTTTTTAACAGGCATAAAGCAGGATATTAGAGACAGCAGAGATATTCCTCACCTGTATATTAGGTCCAAGGAATGAAGGTATTCAAAAGCCAAAACGATCTGTGATGCATAGAATCTTGAATGGGTTTCACTGCAAGAAAAAGAGAATGAAATGGAATATTATTATTAGTGACATTAGGGGAAAATGAAGAAAGAAAACCGATGAACATAACAAATCACTCACTCACTCAATCAGCAAACGTGGGGAACAGGAAGAAAAAAGATCCCATGATCAAAGCAAAGGTTAGTCAACAACATAACACTTCTTTCTCTCTTCCTTCTCTCTTTTTTAGTAACATATCTTTGTGAATCAAGGTTTGTATAGCAGTATTCTGAGGTGTCAGGTTTGATTCCTGCAGTTATTCTTTTTTTTCTTTTCTACACAAAACTTAACTAATTTGGTAAAGGTTTTCCTCCAGTCTAATAAAATATCTAATTACTCTGTCGCTAAATGTGTTGAATTGCCATCATACAAGGCTTACAAAAAGCTTCACTTGGTACACCGTACGAATAATGAACTAGTGTGAACCAACTTAAGGCCTTGAGTCCAGAAAACTACATTGACATCAAGGGTACGCTGACACTTAAAAATATAAGTTTATCATATTTAATTTTAGAACATTTAAAAACAATATTAAATTAATTATTGAATCAAAGATGTATTGATATATTAATAAACAAATCTGACTCCTTTTTCCACTAGATCAGATACTTTGAAATGCAATGCCATAAGGCACATTAGTTACATACATGTAAACAAACTGCTGCTAAACATGATTTGAATGTTAATTAACCACGACCTTTTAACCTTTTTTATGCAGTATATCACTTAAACTTCTCAGAAAATTTGCTAACTTAATAAACTTAAATTATCTTTTAAGACGGGAATGAAGAAGAAGGACAAATAGAAACATTTGAAAGAAATTAAAAATCTCGGGTTGAAGAGCAACGAACAATAGTTTTATGAATAATCATCTCTCGTTAGACCTCAAGGCAATCTGGAGCTTAATTAGAGGATGGAGCACCAAAATGTCCCCTTAAGATGTCGAGCTTTCTTCTGCATTAGGAAATGTTTACTGCAAATGGATAAAGCTTTTAAAACAACAGAGGGAAAGGTAAGGAAAACTTGAATAATGCAGGTGTTCGTAAGGGGCGAAATTAAATACGCAAGATCATTAAAGATAAAAACAATTTATAACAACGTATTCTTTTAATGCATCAGTATTTTTGTATAAACTATGAGTATTTATCAACCGCTTTCACTGTCGGCAATGAAGGAGGATAGAAAACGAGTGTGGTTTAATAGGTGTGCTATAGTTTCCTTGCCACTTTAAATTTATTAACGATTTGGATATCATTGGTTTTTTGTATAAATTATAAGTATTTATCAACCGCTTTCACTGTCGGCAATGAAGGAGGATAGAAAACAAGTGTGGTTTAATAGGTGTGCTATAGTTTCCTTGCCACTTTAAATTTATTAACAACTAAAGACTTGAAACTACCCAAACAGCTCCATCCAATAAACTTCGATCATCTTCAAAACTTCCAAAAACTGTAAACAACGTTGATATTTTGCCAAAAGATACCATCAACTTCACAAATGCCGCAGGCATATTGAAACTTCGCGAAGGTCGCAAATGGTCTAAGTGCAGCACCTCTCGAACAGTGGTAAATTAAACATGACAGTCTTTATAAATCTTAGAGGTAGTTATTACGGAGAAATAAACGGCTGCACACAGGCTATAGTTATGGTGGCAATTAAATAAACAAATTTCTTGACACTTTCACGCTGTTTTGTTTAAAGTTTAATTGTTTACGCAGCATGACAAAATAACTATTGGAAGCTTATTTTTCTATAATGCATTGTACTAAAAACTGTTTTTGTTATTGTTAAGAGTAGTCATTTCTCTTCAAGGAGGTGACGACAGTCCTCGCTTTGGCTAAACAATCTTCAAGCTCAATAAACTAATTGTTTATGGGGCGTTTAGGGAAACCTGTCAGTGCAGGTGGTGTGGATTGTAAAACGTAACCAGTACGCAAGCCTTTGGACCATGTTTGCGCTACACAGCAAGCACGAGGATATGAACAAGGGTTAAAATTGTTTTATTCTTGCATTGATGCTTGCGCCAGCAGGTATTGCGCAAATATGCACTGAGCTTTAACAGCCACATGCACAAACAATATCACCTCCAGCATTCAGAACAAATAGTTATTTATGATGAGAAATTGATAGATATGTCGCATATCAAAAAATATAAAGGAAGCCGGTTGATTGCTCTTTTGATTTCAAAGGTTTAATGATATATTATAAGAATGACAATTCTAGCATTGTATGATGGACAAAAATCCATCTTAGCCTACCTGAATCTGCCAATTCTTCGGAGATGCGAAAACATCTCACCACCAGGGACAAACTCCAGAACCATGTACAGATTTGAATTATCCTATAAAGAATGATCAAAATGAGATTTTTTTTCTTTTTTTTCTTTTCCTTTCACTCTTTTTTATGTATATAAAGGGAAGCAGGGGTGGTATATATTACCACTGTGATCTGGGTTTGATTCCCAGGTTGGGTTTGATCATGAGTGTCTAAATATGAGTAAAGATTGCTGCAAATTCTTTCTCTTGCTTAAGGGTATTTTCCAGGTTCTCCAATTTTCTCCGCAAAAAGCAACATTCTTAAATTCCGCTTCAATCTTAGGAGATATCCTCCATAGGGATAATTTAACCTCTTATCTCTCCTTTCAAACTATAATGCAAACAGATTATTTTTCTCTTTCTTTGTTCCCTTTTTCTACTTTCTTCATTCTTAATCTCTTTTTATTCATTTTCTCTTCTGCATATTTTTATTTTCTTTATCCTTGTTCCCTTTCTACTCTACTCCACTTTCTCCATTCCTTATCTCTTCATTCTATTCTACTCCACTTTTTCCATTCCTTATCTCTTTTTTTTCTCTCTTCTGCTTCCTTCCACTTTCGTTTGTCCTTCTACTCCTTTTTCTCCATTCTTCCATTCATTTTAGATTTTACTCATTTTCTTATGTTCATTTTTTTCCATTTCTGCCACCTTTCTACTCCACTTTATCCTTTCTTTTTTATATTTTTCATTCATTCACTCTCTCTTTCCTTTCCTTTCCTCCTTGTTTTTCATTTGAGTTCGCCAAGCAGATTTTCCAACATCATTATCAGGTTTACTTCAATGTGATAGCATTTCATTGATCCACTCATGTTAGAAAGAAAAACATATGATACTAAAGGGAATGGAATGAGTTATCTAGGAAAAAATAGACCTAGAGTAAATATATCTATTCATATCTAGTAATGGTTTGTAATAAAGCTAAGGTTACTTAAAAATCATCATTTATTGATGTCAGAACCTCTGTGACAATAAGCAGGGCTTAAGACAACTTCCAGTCAGTTGCTGATGATTATGACTGGCCAAATTAGTTTTAGTTCAGTCATACCTCGCTTCTAGCTCAAAATTACTAGTCAAAATGACCAGAATTGTCACAAGGGGGTTTATGAAATAGGTCAGGCTATTTTTATGTTTTTACGTAAGTTGTGATACTAGGATTTCTTTTCCGTTGGTCTAGGGACCAAAGCACAGTTTGCCCATTGACTGCTCTTTTGTAAAATTGTTACTGGCTTTTAAATTTTAACATCAACATCATCAAATCATTTTTTGGAGTTTTTCTACTCTGAAAAAATATCCAAATAATGCTTTCGATAGAAATGAATTAGAATTGCAAAAGAAGGAGTTAATACAAGACAGTCTAAATAATTCTGAATTTGTCAAGCTTGTTAAAACACTAGCCAATATACACTGGAAAAAGGTACTAAGCAAGTCTATGGGAAGATAAAAGCTATATAATCATTTGGTTCAAAATTCAGAAGGTGCTTTTGGGGCAACATTATGTTAAATATGTTTAAATAAAAAAATAAAGATTAGGTTAAAAAGAGTATAAAAATTTTGAGGTGATTTTCATTATAAAGGCACATCAAAAATTCTTGGCGTGAATATGTATTAGAGTCCTTGAGCACTCCTTTCCTCCCCTCCCTCTACACAATAGAGCTTCAATACAGGTCATGCTTTATGTTCTAAAAACGATGACCTTACAACATGGCAATATACTAAAAATACTTGTTCATTGGCCTGTGTTGTATATGTAGCTATTCAGGCATAACAAGCCAGGTCATCTTTAGTACTTGTATCATGTAAGTAGATTCATAGTTGTCACATTAACAACTTTAAGGGAGCAAAAAAAATTTTTTTCCCTTAATACAAAGCATATATAATGCAACCTTATGACTTTAAATTGAGTTAAGATCTTCCAAGAATTCAAGAAGACAATGTATATATTTTTTAAGCATACAAAAGAAATGGATTCAAAGGAAAAACATATTATAACTCTAGTCAGCCGATATATAATAAGGGAAAGCTTTCCTTTTTGAGCCAAAATGTACATGTACAAATTTCTCATATTTAAATAAGGATAATAACGAGTTATAAATCCTTAGTACAGTGTATACGATAATTCGTTAAACTAGAATTGTAGGCTAAGAAAAATGAAGATAAAAATAGGATCAGTGATGCATTAATCGTTCAAGCAAGCCTTTATTTTTCGTTCTACGCCGCTTTTTTTTTTGCTTATCATTCAAGATATTCAAGACAAAAAAAATGAATTAAAAAAACAACACTTACCTTGAAATGCCAATCCAGGTTTACGAGAAATGGAAAACTTATAGCTTGAAGGATTCGTTTTTCGTTCAGGGTATGCTCAACTTGTTTTAACTTGACTACCTGTGGTACAGGATTTGAAGAAAAAACAATGTGAGTCGCACGTACACCTGTTTTTTAAGGCCGGGGATAACACTAGAGCTACGCTTCAGTGCCTTCGATGTCGAGAAACATTTGACAAATGCCTGGTTCTGCATCGATAAACAGGACGAAAACCAAAACACGCAAACGATATAGACTTTAAACAATATCTGGGACCCTTTGGAAGAGTTTTTTGGGGGGATTTTTTTCGGGCGTTTTGCGAAGAGTAAACTGGTTTATGGCAATCTCTGAAGGTCGGGGGAATTGAGTTTGTTTATGTGTCGCGAGAAATCGACCAACTGCAAAGAAGTCCGTCAACTCACTATCACTAACCAGAGATTTTTGAGCAGCTAGATTCATGGATACGAAGAAAGCGAGCTAACCAAGCTTAAATCGGATATGACATTTCCCGAAGTATCTCAAATAAACAGTGTTCCAGTGATCGGCATTATAAACAAAACCCTCGGCGCCGTACAAGATGCATGATGAACAACAATCTGAGAGAAAGACCGGTTTCGCTCGCTCGCTCGCTTCCTTACCTTCTGCTTGTCTAAAATCTTCATAGCGAAGAACCTTTGACTTTCTTTATGTTGCACCAGCATTACTCGACCAAAGGAACCAGTACCCAAGGTTTTGATACGGTCGAAGTCTTCTAAACATGCTGTATTCTGCAGCAAATACACAATGACATCAGTGTATTACTTGAATCCAAAATAATCGCCTAAAAATGGCCTCTTGGGAATTTCCACCGGGTTGCACGACTATATACCGTGGCTGGTTAGGAATACTTCTAGCGAAATTATCGCGTTGTAATATGATCCAAAAGGAAAAAAACATCCATACGATTCATTTAGCAACCACTACTCGAACAAAGCTATCGGTCCATGAATATATTTTGTCGAGCAATCCTCCCTTGGTTTGTTTGAGCGAGCAACAACCCTGAAATTCAGAAAGAAACCATGGACTTACGTGTGACGGTTTTTCCCATTTCTCGTTGAATTTTTCCTTGGCGTCGGTTAAAAATTTTTGTACTAGAAGACAACAAAATTAATAGATGAGCATTTTAAGGCCAACTCGAAAAGCACAAATGTTTTTCTGTAGATTTCAGATTTACCATTTTCAGGGTCCCTCATCTTCGGGTTCTGTGTGTTGCCCATGGTTATATGGGCAATAAAAGACAGACAAAATATATAGAGACCTGTCCAATGTGATAAAATACTCTAGGGACCAAAAATGTGCTCTGCCGTTAAAATAATCCTGTTTTTTGCGTGYCCCTTTTTATGGCCGTGTTGGTATCAAAGAACCAGACCTGCTTCACGGCTCCCCGAATACGAAACACACATACACGGCCCAGATGACGTCAAGACTAATACGCCAACCGATTGGTTCCCGAACTCGCGCGACAAGAGCAGATCTCCTTATTTGGGTACTCTCGTGGCGACAGCTGAGAGTCGACRAATAAACGACAGCTTTCCGGGAGGAAAACCTGATCGGCAACAAGCAAATTGACAACAAATAACAAACAATAAAGTTGGGGATGCTGTTCACCGATGGTTGTCAGTGACAACAGAAGCTAAGCTTTGGCAACACAAGCAAAATTCACTAAACATGGTATCTTTTAACCAAAACAAGTACTGCAGTTCATTGTCTCTCAACTAAAAAATATTCACAAAAAAAGAACAGTTCTCCATAATCTAGCTGACCATTTCATAATTAACTAAATACTATAATCATTGTAATCCTATATTTAAAGAAAATTAGAATTCCAATTTTTACTTATTTTGTTAAGACATTTCCAGTGGATTATCCAATTAAGTAATTATTACAATTTAGTGTATTTTTTTGGTATCTTCTGTAGAGAATCCTCACTGAATATATCTAAATATTTTATACTCTAGAAACTTGATACAGCATTAGCAGTGATTATCTTATCAACCACAACAGAAAACTAAGGCAATTATAAGAAACTTTGAGAATCAAGAAAATCACAAACCTTGATCGAAAATATTTTTCATGGTCATATGTTTTTTAAATAATGAATTTGTTCAGTGTTCACCAAATAATTGCTAGAGGCAAAATATATTTTTTCTTTTGAAAATAAATAAATAAATAAATGTTTCTATGCAAAGGTATTTCCTAGCTTAGAATGGCTAAAAATTTAGCAAGAGTCTATCTACGCACAATTCAATGATAACTTAATGTCCCCTAAGCATTTGAAAAAGTAATTTTAAGATAATTTTTTTAGTTGAAAATTGCAAGGCTAGAGGTCGAGTATGTTTAAATGTCTTTCCAATGAATATCCAAAAGCTCTGCATAAATAAATAGATTATCTTAGCTAGTTACGACAACAGTGATTTAAACATTCAGCTTTAATCTACCCTCTATATTCATAGTTATGTGATGCATGCCTACCGAGAAAAACTGTATACCAAAATAACTAGTGCATCTCTATAATAATAATGATAAAATTACATTGCCCAAAATTATTTGAATTCATATCGTCTGTTATTGAAATTCGTTAGAGCTAACATAAACTATCCAAGACTTACTAGCATATTTATCAGATGATGAATAATCTTGTCTAAGAATAACAAATACAGATCCGACGATGACCAGATAATGTAACCTTTTTATCTAAGTATCTAAGAAGTATGTTAAGTGAAGAACTAGCTTGTAGATCTGGAGTGAAAATGCCAATGAAAATCAAAATCCATTGACTTTAGGATAAAAGTACACAGATTGTATAATTGCTGAAAGGGCATTGGATTTAAGTTTAGCCAATGAGAAAGAATATGATGTGACATACGCTTGTGTTGAGAAACAGAATGTCTATTTTATGACACCCTGTTGTTAATATCTGTTGCTGTTGTGGACCATTAGAGTGAAGTCATTAAACCCGTGACATAGATATTAGACTAATACACTTTAGTAGCCCCTAATTCCATTGTTTTCTTTTGTGTCTATTTGACTATTACACGTTGACTAATAATTTTTATTTCACGGGTTAAATGCCTTCTCTCTATAAACTTGTATATTTAGTGACTAACCGTCAAGTTAAAATAATCAATTAAAAAAAAACAATCGAATAAGTGTCTAGTACTATGCATTATATCTTGATCTTATATCTTCTTATATCCTCTTTTACTAACGTCCGAAACACCAGTAAGTTTTTTCATCTATTCATGGTGTATAATTTACCCTTTTATCATTACTGGGTTATATCTTATTTCTTTTCCTGAGCTAAGTAAAATCACTCCAACAGTGATGATAACAAAGCATGCCTATTATAATACAGTAGTGATTTGCACTCCTTCAATAACACTGTTATGTCTAAGTGAATTGTTATTAACGGTTTTTTATAAACAGGTATTTCTGTTTTGGTCTGCTGTTCTAAACAATATTATCAAATTACACACCACAAAATCCAAAACTTGTAAAACAATTTTCTATAAATTTATTTTTATTCTCTCATTATTAATTTATTTAGACCGATCAAAAATTAATGACCAATGGTATTCAAACCTGAACGTAATAATATTAAAACGATGCAAGTTTTATAGTAGTCAAAGTAGTAAAATAGTCTGTTAAAAACTGGAATAATAATATAATAATAGACTGTCAATAACAAAAGTATATCAAATAAACAGCAATAAAAAATAAAACGATAGTAAAATAAGAAGAGATAACTAGCTAAAAACTAGTGTGAGCTGCGTCAGTGTTTCTAATGAAACAGTAATGATAAAAAGGTAAATTATACACTGTGAAAAGATGAAACTATTGACGTTTCGGCTGCTAGTCCTTCGTCGGAGTAAAAGGGCTAATAAAATATATTATTAGATGTTATTATCAACATAAAATTTAGGTTACAACAATTCTTTATTATTACCCTAAGATACATTTTTTTCAGTATATATATATATACATATAAGTCTAATATATTTTCTAGCTGTTTCCAAGAATGAGACTTTTGAGTTTGCATCAGTAATTTTAAATTAATCAAACATGATCAGATGTGGCCGTATATTTACTGACCTTCAGCTTGCGATCATGTGTTTTCATAAATATTGCTGATGCAAACATGAAAACGAGACATCATCAGGCAGTGTTTACAAAAGAAAAAAACGTTTGAAACCATAGAGTTATAGGTGATTTCTTAAACCCTTGAAGAAAATATTTTGTCTGAAGTGAACTACACTTTTGACAGCTCATACATCTTGGAAAAGATCTATGCTATGACGTTTAGAGTTTGTGGTCTACCTGATGGTTTCAGAGTATCGTACTATTTTTTTCAATCATACTTAGTTCAGTTCAAGTTCTCAGCTGCTCAGATTTGGCATCAACTTCGTGTAGAACATTCATAACTCTGAGTAAATTTATTAGTCTGTGTACTCAAGAAACATAACGGTAGATAAAAATGAAAAAAATGTCTAGTACTGTCTAATAGCAGAGGTGTTATGCTGATGRCAACCAAAAATCAAAAATTTGTTACCAATGTCAAATCCATTTGTAAATTACCATTATTTGGTCACAATGCAATTTTCAGAGTTTTTAATATATATATAAATAATCTTTATTGAGGTTATCGCTGTCACCATAAGGTGATTTACAAGAGAGACCTCTAAAATAAATATATAACAAAAAAGAAAAATGAAGACTAAAATATAAATATATAAAAAATAACAAAAATGTAAATTTACAAATAATGA